GTGAATAGGCTAAAACGCTTCCGTGGTCGCTGGAGGCGACCGTTCGCGGACGAAGTGCCTAGAAGAAAAGCCGAGAATGTGGCTAGTGGGAGTGATACCGGCGAGAACGTGGCAGCTGGGAACTAGACAAGTAGTGACGCGACCATCGAGGATGTAACCGGGAACGAATTGCTATTGGAGTCGGGACCACTACAAGAAGAAGATCTGCCTCAGTCGAGTTTTGTAGAACGAGTGTCGATCGGGGGTGAGGAGACAGCGTTCACCGGCGTCTCGTCGCCCATTGTGGACGTCGTTGCTAAGAGAGTGGATAAGGGTGAGCTGCAGTACCTAGTGCTGACGGCTACGTACGAGATCTTTTGGCTACCTCGAGCGACGCTGTTCCCCGAGTTTGGAACCATGATAAGCGTCTTTGAGGAAGCAGACCGCAAGAAGAAGGGTCTCCCGGAGTTACGTCGGAGCGTCAGGTTGGTCGAAGCCAACGCTGATGTGGACGACGCGGAAGTGTTGTTCTAACTGGTCCCCTGACCGGTTGGAACGAGTGAAACTGGACCGCTTCACTCTTGTTGGTGTTTGGGAGCGAGTGAGTCTCGAAACACTAGACTATATTTTGCATTTACATATTGGAACGTTACGAAGAGGGACACTGGGAAAGTGACGTGGGGTATCGACGGAGCTAAAGACCCTTCGACGGGATGGTTATGCCCGGGATTGACAAAGCTGGAACGAGGAAAAGTTGTCACGAGAAACGATGTTGACTAGCTGGACATCGGGGAACGGTAAAGACTTGTAACGCGAAGATTAAACGGATGTATTTGAGACGAAGAAACAAGAAACGGAACGAGAGAGGGATACGAATCCGAACGAGAGGCTACTTCTTGGTAGTCTTCTCCTTGTCGGCTGAAACCTTCTTGGGAACGACTTTCTTACCGTCTTCCCCGTCGGCGGCCTCAGCCTTATCCTCCTCGTCATCGTCTTCGTCGTCTTCCTCTGGTTTGTACTCGTCTTCGTCGTCGTCTTCATCGTCGTTCCCAGCTTCTTCATCGTCGTCCTCTCCGTCATCAGCGTCGTCATCGGCACTAGGGGAGTCAGCAGTAGTAGCGGTCACGGTCGTGGAAGTTGGAACGGCCGCTTTGGCCTCGTCTTCGTCGTCCTCTTCGAGATCGGACCAGTCGGCACGTCGGCGTTCCGTCTTGGTCGGTCCCTTAACTTCGGGGAGCTGGTACGAGCCACTCTCCAACTCGGTCGCGACAGTCAGCTGGGTTTGCTTCACCAAAGCGTTGTCCATAAGGGTTTTCCGGGGCTCGTCACTAGTGGACCCCACCCAGGTGTCACGTGGCGTCGCGGAGGACTGAAGATCGAGCCGAATGCGTGCCAAGGCCACCATGGAGAGTCGATTGGCCGACTTGGCCGTAGGGACCAAGGCCTCGGTCGTCTCTAACAGGACGCGGATACTCGGGTATCCGTACGCGTCGATCTGCACGGGCTCCAGAGCGTTATCGATGGTAGCCTGATATCGATCCGGATCTTTGTCTTCGAGCGAGGTTAACGTGTCCGCGAGAGGTCCGTCGTAGTGCAGGCACTTCTTGTTGTCACGACCTGGCTGACCTCCCATCCAGAACATTAGAGGGCACTTGTCAAGGAGCGTGAGGAACCCGTAGAAGCCCCAAGTCTCGATGCACAAACTAATGAAGGCCACTCGAGCCTGTACGGCGCGCATCTTGGCCTTACGACGACTATTCTGCGCCGTCTCCGACGCCAAGGGCGCGTACAAGGCCCATTCCCAGAACGCTCGACGGTGACACATCCAGAAGCGCCAGTGTCCCCGGTAGATCGCGCGGAAACGAAGCGGGTTGTACCACTGCGGACGCTCCGTCCAAGGGTAAGCGAGACACCAAGGCTTCTTTCCGGCCGCTTCCGCCTTTGCCAAGATGAAATAGATGGCCGCCTTTACAGAGTCAGGGGCGTCGAGGTTCAAGTCGACCAGCGCCTTGTACTCGGCCGAAGGAGCGAGCGAAGACGTCGGCTTGTCTGGCTTGTCACTCCTCCGCAGCTTCTTAGACGACTTGATTGGGGGTGGCCCGTTGCGAGTTTTCCGCTTGCCGCGAACAGGCTTCTTTGCCGACGAAGGAGAGGAAGAGGTAGACGATTTAGCAGGCGTGGACGGCGCGGGCGAGACTCCTGACGTTGACGGCATAGCCACCACGGGACCGCGCAATGCGATGGAGGGTCGACCTTCCAGGAGATCGTCGACCAACCGCTCCATGACTCTCCAGACCAGTGGAGAGGCCGTTGCCGCCCAAGTGCGCCTTCAACGCGTCCCAGAACTCCCGCTTGATGGTCTTAGCGTCGTCCCCTGGCGTTCCATGCTCGTCGTACTCTAGGGCCGCGTCGAAGAATCGCTTGAATCGCCGGCGCTCCGCGACAGTGAGGCGCTTGGACATGCTGGCAGCTGAGAAGTTGTAGCTGGGAGGTGTTCTACTTGGAGATTGTTGAAAACTGAAAGATACGTCGCATTTGCTCGGGTGATGGCTGACGGACGTTGGAAATAAGAGGGTGCAAAAATGGAACGAGATGAAAGGAAACGACTTGGGTGACACTGACGCCACTTGGGAAGGGGTGTCAACGGACGACGCCAGGATGACCTTTCTTAACTGACGCGGCGCCAGTCTGAAATGATGGAAGTGCTGAGGAGCTGGGTCGATGGAATCGAAGTGATGGCTCCTGTCGTGACGTTCCCGGAAATTGAAACAGGAGCTATGGTGGTCTGCGCCGCAGCTGGGATAGTAGTGTGGGTGGTCACGACGCCTTTACGCAATGAGGGATGGGTTTATAGTGCGAGCCTGGTGGACTGTGGCTCTACCGTCTGCTTCTTCTGGTATACTTGTAGTGACCGATTTGTCACTACCGTCCGTGGAGCCAACGCTCAAAAGCTGCACCCTAGAGAGTATGCGTGCACTTTGGTCACGCTGATGTTCCTCGTTCCCATGGCGGTGTTACGAAAGTATGAACCCCGCTTCGGCATTTTTGGACTGTTGTGTCTCAGATGGTGTGAGGCTTGGCACCACTCGATCTGTCTCTTCGTTCCAGATGTGATGCAGCTTGTGCGGACGTCGTGCTGTCGTTACACGAAGGCGATCGCTGAGGCTACGGTAGCCTCGATCGATCGAATGGGCGAGTACCTGATGGGCGTGTGTCTGGTGGGGCAACTGTTGTTGTCGCTTGTGTTCTACCTGCCTAGAGTATTCTACGAAGGCGTGGAAGGTGCCCTATGTGGTTGGATGGGTGTTGCCTTAGCTACCCTAGTGGTGGACATGATACTATAATTCTCGGTCGCGAGTCTCATTGGGAACGTGTTCGTCCTGGTACTGGGCTGTTATAGCCACGCTACGAGGTACTACTGGGCGTCGAGGGTGAAGACTGTCGACGGCTCTGGAATTGAGGCCGCACAGAAGGGTTGGGCTAAGCTTGAAAGTCGGAAGGAGCTACGGGAAAGGAGAGAGAGAGCTAGCCTCGACCATTTGCGTGCAGGTCCTAATGATACGGCCCCTGTGGCGCAAGGAAATTCGGATTCGACGTCGATTGGAACGAGGTCGATCGTTCCAGATCTGCCGGTCGACTCGGCGATTGGACCTGCTGGAAAGGATGAGGCTCGGCGAGGACTCCGAGCTGCAGTCGGGGAGAAATGTCACGGTCTTCGGCTAGAGGAAGGACTCGCTATTCTGGACGACTGCCTACGGCAATTTAGCGAGCGACGTATGAAGAGTGTCAGGCCCGATCAGTCTCGTTCCCCGTCACCGACTATCTCGTCCCTAGTCTAAAATGGAACGAAGGAGTTCAGACAGTGGTACGCTGACTTCGTTTACGAACGACAACTAGAGGTACTGGTGCTGGTAGGAGGTACTTTGGCAATGTAGAGAGCTAGTGAGGGAGCTCTCAGTCGTGAATTTCCTTCTTTTACGAGAAGTGCTCAAGAAAAACAAATAAGAAACAAGTATATTTTACACATCTAATACGTCTAAGTTCCTACGTCGGCTTTCACAAGATACACGACCCCGACAAGAGAAGGAGACCGCGACAATTTTCTCTACTACTGTTCGAGAATGGTTCTGGATAATAATCTTCGAATACATTGAAATTATTATTTTGTTGGTCGGTAGGGCAATGCTGAGCAAGCTGACACGTTTCGCACGATGAAGCAAGTGCTTAAATGCGTACTGGAAAATTTTGAGCATCTGAAATCACCATAAATGTGATAATAAAGAAGTATTAATATGGGATTGTTTTTGTCAGCTTCTCTGGAGGTCTGATTTTTGATCGCTTAAAGATCCGCATCAGCCATCAGTACGATACCTCCGTAGTAACCATTTCCACACGAAATTTGTAACTAAATACGAAGTACAAATTAAACAGAATGATGGCCGTGAAACGCACTCCTACGAGCAACCAAGGCTCGGAATCGCTGCAAGCGACCAATCTTTATACTTAGCCAATAATACAAAGTTATTTCGGACCAAAATGAAGGGAGGTGAAAGTTCATTCTGCGAGATTACCAATGACGTCATGTGTAGAATGATTCTACAAGAGCTCGCGAAAGATAAAAATAGAGTCCAACGTACTTTCAATTATTTCCGCCGGATGTCGCTCGTATGAGTGACCATCATTGTGCTCGAGGTGGACGGAGTTACAAACGACATCGTCTTCCGATATGAAATGATTGCAACCTTTTGGGTGTATGTAAAAGGTGCTTTGGTTTAAGAATTCAGACCTCCGTTCAGATCGTTGTATTAATAACAGCTCTAGCGATAAGTAAGAACTTCTAAAGACAGCTTCGAGAACGCAAGGTTATGCGATGAAATCAAATTAGACAAAAAAAAAAGCGCTACAGCCGGGTCCCCGCCGAGCGTCTTGTCCGACAGATGTGATGATGGTGCATGAAGCAGCCAAGTTAGTCTCCAAGACAGATAGTTGGATTGCTTGCTCACTTTCTTCGAAGTACTCGTTTACCGAGAGCGCAGAACGACGACCATATGATCTCCCTTATAGCCAAGCTGTCGTGCTGCTTGGCCCGGGGGCAGAATAAACACTTTAAAGCCCTGAGAATCCATTTCCGCAGCTCCCCCTGCACGCGCGTGACCACTGCGTCCTTGAATCAGGTAGTCCACGAATTCCCGGTAGCCGCTCGCGTCGGCCATCGACTGGGGCTTCAGCTCGTACACAACTCTTCTTACATTAGGCCGTTCGAGCAGCAGAAACTCGGCCGACTTGTTCAAATGTGGCAACATCACCACATCCAGATATGACGGCCTAAACACGGTAGAAATGGGTCAAACTTGGCAAATCCGAGCGACTTATATGTACTTCCGCACGTACAATTGACGGTTTAGTCCAACCGAGAGCGATGTAGCGCTGCAGTGACATTTAAACTTGCCACTGCGCTTGAGGTCGAAGTTCCATTCGCTTGGAGTCTGCAGAAACAAGCAGACGTCACCAATTATACAAATAAAACAGAAGAATATACTCTAGAACAACGAACTTACGTCAAAAGGACGAGGCTCCATCATGCGAGGGCTGTCGGGGCGTCCTCCAGGGCCGTTAAATGGACGTCGCATCATGTCTGGTGGAGGGCCACCACGCTCCCAGCTTCGGTCTCTCTTGCGCATCATGTCACCTGGAGGTGGACGGTTCGGACTGCGGCTCCGACCTCGAGGTGGAAACATGTTTGGAGGTGGACGATTCGGACTACGGCTCCGACCTCGAGGTGGAAACATGTTTGGAGGTGGACGGTTCGGACTGCGGCTCCGACCTCGAGGAGGAAACATGTTTGGAGGTGGACGGTTCGGACTGCGGCTCCGACCTCGAGAAGGAAACATGTTGGGAGGACCATTGGGCCCAGGCCCTCGGTCGCCAAAGGGGGGACCACTGGGTCCAGGGCCTCCAAAGCCACCACCACGCATGGGACTCGAAGGTCCTCTACCTCTGTCGTCGAAAGGAGGTGGGCCACCAGGGCCACGACCGCCAAAACCACCTCGCGGTGGGCTTCTTAAACCTGGTCCACGGGGGGGGCTTCTTGACCCAGGTTCGCGTGGAGGACTTCGTGGGCCTGCCGACCCTGGTCGCTCGTTAGGTCCAGGTCCAGGCCCAAATCCGTTGCCGTTGCGTGGAGGACTGCGCAAAGGTCCGCGGGACGGGCTGCGACTGCGGCTTCGACGAGGACCGCCTGGGCCACGGTCAAAGCCACCACGGGGCGGGCTGCCCGGTCTTCCGTTAAACCCACCGCGTGGGCTACCCGGTCTGCCGTCATTAAATCCATTTCGAAAATGACTGCCCGGTCTGCCACCATTAAACCCATTGCGAGGACTGTCTGGTCTTCCGCCGAAACCATTACGAGGGCTGTGGGGACGGCCACCATTGAAGGGTGGTCCATTATCTCTGTGAGGTGGACCATCAAAGTGTCCATTTCCAGGCGGGCCGCGAGGCGGTGATCGAGGCCGACTTCCTCCGTTCATATTACCTGGCATCCCATCACGATCGCGACTTCGGCTGCGTCCTCTCGAAGGTCCGTCCGGGCCTCCCATCATCCTCGGCGACATAGGTCTTCCCGGTGGTCCCATTCTTGGCGACGTCATATCACGACCGTTGTTGATCATCCTAACGGGTCCGCCCACTCTCATTGCTGCATACTGTTCATTCGGTGGAGAATGCGATGGCGATGCAGGGGGCGATAGTGCAGGTTCACGAGCACGTTCGAACGCAGCAGCGGAAGGCGACAACGGAGCAGCAGTCGGTGCGTCAACAACAGTCGTTGGAGCATCCACAGGATTCGAAGCAGAAGCAATAGATGCATCAACATGCGAAGCAGGAGCAGAAGCACAAGAAGTGCCAACAGCCGTTAGTGACGTATTATCTTCATCAGCAGGGACAGACACCTCGGGCTGCGGCGTGTCGCACGATGCCTGCTGAGGCTGAGGCTGGGGCTGTGCCTGCGGCTCCACCTCGGGCTCTCGCTTGCCATCAGCAGAATCGGTAGACACGCCGAGGCCCGAGGGTCCGTTGGCACATGCAGCATTATTCTCTTCAGTACTGACCACTTCTCCAGCTTCAAGCTCTTGTTCATCTACAGTGCATAATAGACAACATATTATTCATTAAAAACTAATTAGTACAGGCAAAAAATCACAAGCATACCTGTCGAGTTGGAGATCTCCGTGCTCTTTTTAGCGGGATCACCGCCGTTCTCGTTTGGCAGCGTATTGTTCTTAATGTTCAGATACTTGTCGTAAATGGCGCCACCACTTCCGCGCCGCGTCTTAAATGCGGGCGCGACGGCGGCACTCGTGTCTCCGCCTTCCATTACCTTCCGTTGATTGCTTTTAGCTTTTCGAAAGTAGGATCCCATCACGAGACTTGTGGTCCACATACGTTTGTGTAAATGGTGTGGCTTGAACTTAAACATGATTTTTGTAAGCCACCTGATATGCATCCCTGTAAATTCGGATTTCCTTCAAGGTGGCTATTTTTAGAGGGACGAGCATAACACTGTGAGCGACATTAGCGGCACTCGCCTTCCTTCCTCTGTCTCTCTTCGTACACGTGAGAGCAGACACGTCGCCAGCAGTGTCACCAGCTGTATTGAGATCAGCCTCTCCGCCTTCACGTTCAGTAACGTGAGGTCTTGCAGCCGGACAGAACGACCATGTCAAGAGACTAGTACGTTCTTTTTTCCAATATCTCGCCGCCGCCTCTGGGGCCGTTTTCCTTACGATATTGGATTCGGTATTATTACGCAGCGACCACCTATTCAAACTTGTGCTGATTGGCGACTCGGGCGTTGGCAAGTCCTGCCTTCTGCTGCGCTTCGCCGTGAGTGTATACACCGTTGTTCTATCCCGTCGGAGGCTTAATGTGTTTTCCTATAACACTGCAGGATGACGCATTCACAGAGAGCTACATCACTACTATTGGAGTGGACTTTGTACGTAATCTAAATGGGAGGTCTTGCTCTAATGGGATACGAAAGTTTAAACGTGTACTTTGCAGAGATTTCGCACGGTGAAGATCGACAACAAGACTGTGAAACTCCAAATTGTTAGTTGGGCTGCTTGCAGTTATCTTCGTCGACTCGTGATGTCCAGAAATTGTTTCGAAGGCTTACAAACATTGTGATGTGCTCCAAATTGTAGTGGGATACAGCTGGACAAGAGCGTTTCCGCACCATCACAAGTGCGTATTATCGTGGTGCAGACGGTATTATCATGGTGTACGACGTCACCAGTCAGGTATCTAAGATCTTGGGCTTTAAAATGGACCAGAACAAAAATGGTTCTCACCCTTTATCTTCCACAGGAATCGTTCGATCATGTAAACGACTGGCTGAACGAAGTGAACCGATACGCCAGCGAAGGCACGTGCAAGCTCCTAGTGGGCAACAAGAGCGATATCAGCGACAACAAGGTGGTATCGTACGAGACGGCTAAGGCCTTCGCAGACAGTTTGTCGATCCCGTTCCTCGAGACAAGCGCCAAAAACGCACAAAACGTTGAAGAGGCTTTCCTCACGATGGCCTCGGAGCTGATCACGATTCGTGAGATGGTTGGCGAATCCAGCCGGCCTACGGGCACAAAGGTAAGCTCTCTGCTCTGGTTCGAGTTATACCGGATACTTCGAAGTGTATCTGACATATATTGTGTCTGGTGCCTCAAGTTGACGGAGAACACCAAAAGCGGCGGCAATAGCAACGGATGCTCGTGCAATTAGTTACGCGCGTATGTAGCTACAATAAGTTAGTGCACCTTTCACTCGTAGACGCATTGTATTGATGCGCATGCACAATAGGCTCTCTGGCCGCATCTTCAGTAAGTAAAACAAGCGCACCCAGAGTGTCGTTCATTTGGCTTTATTCTTGTTTATGGTTGGTTATGCGAGGTGCCCTCCAAAGTATAGGAGTCGAGCCACTTAGTGGTCGAAGTATCGAGCGAGCTTCTCAATGTCAACTGTGTTGTTGTTGGCCTCGCCTTCCTGTGCTCGGGCGATGGCGCTGTTGATCTCCGAGTCGCTGAAGAGAATCGGCTCCTTGGACATGGCACGCTTGACAAATTTGGCGCTCACGTGGCCTGGCTCCTCCTCGTGGCCCTCGACCAAAGCTCTAATCATGTTGCCCTGTAGTTGCGATCGGCGTAGAGGAACCTCTCCTTGCGGGAAGGAGTGCAGCTTGTAGATGGATTGGTACTTACGGACGTACGACTGGAAGTCGATGTCCATTTCGTTCAGCTGGCCATTCTTCAGATCGTACACGAGACCGTGGATACGCGGGAAGCCGTATTTGACCTGGTGACGCTGCACCAGTCCAATCTTGAACACGTTGATACACTGCTCAATGGTGTTGAGCTCCACTGTGCGACGCATTCGCTGCTCGTGGTCATCAATCTCCTGCAGTTCATCGTTGTGAATTCGGACAACTGCATCAAACAATCAAATAAATCATTATGTCGCAAGAATGCGCAAGACCTCCGGGACGTATCTTACCGTCTCGAATGTTGCGTAGCCAGTTGTCTAGCAGACCAAGGTGCTTGTTCTCCACAGCAGCGTGGACGCCACCGCAGCCGTAATGTCCGCACACGATGATGTCCTTAACCTTGAGGTGCTCCACGGCGTACTGGACAACTGAGAGCGAGCTGATGTCGTTGCTGACCACGAGGTTGGCCACGTTACGGTGCACAAACATCTCACCAGGCGCCAGACCCGTGATCTCCTCAGCGGGAACACGCGAGTCAGAGCATCCGATCCACAGATACTGCGGGTGCTGGCCCTGCGACGTCTTGTCGAAGTAGTCCGGATCCAGGAGCTTCTTGCCTTCACGCCACTTCTTGTTGTTCTCGAACAGACGCTCAAGCGACGTGGGCAACGCCATCGTGGAGGATGCACGCGCTAACTGAGCAGGCATGGCCGCCGCCACACGGGGCATAAGCAAAGAGGAGCTTTTCAAGGCACGATGGAGCATTGTCCTGAGATAGGGATCTTGTGTCGCTTGCGCTTGAGTCGGCGAAGTTCAAAGTGACGCTGGCAACAGCTCCGCGGACACGATATGACGCACCACCTTGGTGCCACACCAAGATATTGTCGTCATTGCCCATTTTCTACCAATTGACTGCCGTAACATGTCTGTTTTAATCCAATCGTCAAGCTACCTTGCGTGGTGCACACAGTAATGATGCGGTTACGGCCATAGATGCTGCATCAGCGCTCCAAACAATCAAAAGTCGACGGTGAGCTTCGGTCGACCTGCGCGCGCCATTCTTTTGGCATGCGCGTCAATGAGCTCGAACTTTGTAATCCCAGTCTATGACCACCGATCAACACCGAAAAAATGTGCGGCCCGAGCGGTCTGGCCACTCATCTCAAGTCGCTCTGAAAGGCAGTTTTAGCTACCAGTATTAGTAGCCATGGAAGGATAAATATAGAGCTCTGGAGTTATTCGCGAGCTCGCGCTTGTAATGTAATGGACAATTTTGCTAATGACCGCACCTACCGGAGATTAGCCTCTACTGCCGAGCAGCGCAAGTGCAGATCACGGATCTGGTTTTGTCGGCCTAATATTGTGTGCAAATTGCGCTGCATCATGCTTCAGGCAGGTTTCTGCATGATGCAATTTGTGAGCTAGCTAATAATTTGTGAGCTAGCTAATTCTTGAGAGCGTGTAAAGCGGGTTTTATTTTATCATTTCTTGGCCTTCGAGAAATAAGGCCGCGCGCAAAAAATGAGTTTTTCGTTGAAGTGATTTTCTATTATTCTATTGGTCAAAAACAATTTCACTTACTTTCTCGAAAACGCAAAAAAAAAACCATGGCAAGCGATAAGAAGACACCGTCAGCGCCAGGTATGACACCTTCAGCGGGCATCCACCAGCCGATGGCGCCGCCGGTCAACTCTTTTGCGAGTACTAGTACAACGCACAAGGCTCTGACACCTAATCGTCAGCTGGGCGAGCTGCTGCGATCCGTCGATCCCAAGTACTGCTTCCATCCGGCCGTGGAGGAGTTGCTGCTGGACATGGCGTCGGACTTCGTGCAGGATGTAGTGGATTTCTCAGGCAAACTAGCTAAACACAGGCGATCCACGATGATGGAGCCGCGCGACGTGCAGTTCTGTCTGGCCAAGAACTACGGTATCTCGCTGGCCGGAGTGCTCCCTCCTGCAGGCTCAGCTTTAAGACCGCTGGGTCAGGACCTGCTGGTACGGGCGCGGCCAGCAAAGAATTCCCTGCACATGCACCGAATGGCGCTGAAACGCAAGTCGCTACTGCACACCAAGACCAAGCTAAAGAACGCGCACGCAGTGAAAAATACAGAAGGCGGCAAGAAGGTGGTGCGCAAGGCCAGTGTCAGCAAGTAATGGTACGAGATATACCGACAAATAAGTTTCTTTTTTACATTAACATGTAGTAACTTTGGCATCGCATTTTGTATCGATTTATAGCGAGCCGTAAATATTTTCTAGGCCCCATCATCCTTTCGCTGTGCTAACGAAGCCTTTGTAGAGCTAAAGGGACTGACGACAGTCACATACTTCAGTAGCTTACGCTAAACATTTCGTTTGGCACAGTTTATCTTGTTTACCTTTATATACTTATCTTCAGCTCGCTACTACACAACTTCGCCAAGGCTGTTGACAATATCAGCGTCGAACTCCAGACGAGGCGTCTTGGCTAAAGGTGCTGGAGTGTCTTCGTTACTTATTGACAAGGCGGTCGACACAGTATTCGTAATCGTCGTGGATGTTTCGATGGCAGTGCCACTATTGCCGCCAGTACTGCGCGGACGCTTCTTGTACTTTGTGTTGCGTGATCGGACGGCTGGCAACAACGATTGATCTTTGTGTAGATCCCCAGCAACAGGGATCTCGATCCGCAGATTACGATGTACCTCCACGTACGCCGTCGCAGTATAAATCGGGTCAAAGCTGTCCAGCAATACCGCCTCGTTAGCGAAATGCATCGAGGCTGCGATAAAATGGCGACATGGCCAGCCCAGTTGGAACATCTGACCACAAGTACAAGTGCGCAGCGCTAAGTCCATCCTGTACGTGATCTTTGGACGTGCACCCGTCAACCAAGCGAAGGCGACTTGTTCGTCACATCGACGTATGGTGTATTCAGCGGCAGCCTGCCGTTCTTGTCGATATACTGCATCCGCGCCTGGCGTGAGGACGGCAGGCCTCTGACCTTCGACCGCAAGCAGCTTCGAAGCAGATTGACTTCTCTTGTAAATGCCGTCCATGAGGAAGGCCAGGAACATATACACGAGGTCAAAAGGGGCCTCGTCACTGCGCTGGATATCAGAGCCTGTCACTGCCTCCTCACCGCCTGTACTAGCCCAACCGTAGAGCCTTATGGATCGATTCAGATAGGACGCCCAATTTTTCGGATGGACAGACCGCAAAAAAGCTGCCGCTGCTGCATTGAGTCGTTCGATCCCTCCCAAAACGCTCAAGAACGCTTCCTCGGTTTCCTGCCGCTGCAGCTCCCACACCTTTTCTTTCAGTGGTCCAAGAGCAGGAATATTCTTCTCGCGTGCCATTTCCTCCAACAGACTTCGCACACAGAACATTATCTTTGCATGACGAGCCTCCTGTGCCAAAGCACGAAGCAGACCGTGCTCACTATGCGAGCAGAAGACGGGATTTCCGTCGAAGAAAGCACCACCACGCTTGGCCAACGTGATAAACCACTTCATATGCGTTAAGTCGCTTGTCGGCAGCAATGCGAACGCCATGACTTGGTACTCTAGACTTCCGTCGCGCGTAACAAGCAGAGCCATACAGCCCTGATAGCTTACGGTAGAGTAGTGCAGCACATGAATACCGCAGACTTGCTGCTGGTTTCCTAGTACAGCCATCGACGCATTGGGCATGATGAAGGCCCGAACGAAGTGGCCTTGGGGATCTTTTTCGTAAGTGGCAATCGAGCCAGGGTTCTTCATTATAAACGACTCCATCAAACTCGGAATAAACTTGTAGCTCTCCGATACATCATCCGTAGACGTATCAATCACCATTTTTTGCGCACGATAGGCCATACCACGTGGGATGTGGATCCCTGTATCCGAGTTCATCAGGAAATTGTCGGTCATCAGTGTTCCCGACGCTTTGGAGTGCGTGGTCACGGCTTGTCGGAAGAAACGAAGCTCGGCAAGCTGCCGTGCGGTGGGCTTTGGAGCTCCTGTGCACGTATCCGAGTGCTTTAAATTCATGGCAGAGATCTTCCAGCTCTTGGACTTCCACGCCTTCGCGAGCCGCACAAACCAGAGACATTGCTCGTCCGAACACACATACTTTTTGTTACTGCCGCCGTTGTTTCGCTTGCACAGCTTGGCACGCTTACGCTGTACCACCAGCGCAAAGTCCGCGATGGCCTTTGTAACCTCCTTGCCCGAACTCCAGCGCATCTCGTGTGTCAGTTGGTACTTCGAGACATCGTCTACCAGCAATGATGAGTCCGGCAACAATCCTAAAGTTTGCGACGTGCTTCCATCTCGTGTGGCGGCCTTTGTCCCATCCTGCTTGTTGCCAGTAAAGTTGCACGTCTCTAAGCACTCTTTTGAGTGCTGTAAAGACATCGAAAGTACCGAATACCGCTCCGATTTATCAGTCGCTTCATCCAGCGTTACCATCCACTCGCAGTTAGAGTTGCGATAGTTCTGACAAACCACTCGTCGAGCCATCACATGTTTTCCGCACCAGGTCATCTCCTCTGCCTTCTCCGCCATCACTCGACGTCCCATTTGAAGTGCCAGAGCACGGATAGCTCCAAGAGCGTCTTTCCAGCTTGTGAACACCCTTTCGACGTACACGGACGCATCCATAGTCGAAGTAGCCTCGCCCTCAGTAGTATCAGCTAGTGCTGCTGCAACACTAGCGTTGGCACTTGCCAGCAACTGTTCTGTTGCCATGGACGAGGCGTCTGTGGTAGCGTTTCCTAAACGACTGCTTTCGCTGCATTTGGTCTTATGGTGGACTGTGTTCATGCTGGAGATTTTCCACTTCCTCTCGCCCTTAACGAACAATAGACGCACAAACCACTTGCAAGCTGGTGAGTTCTCGCACTCCAATACAACGACATTGGAGTCGGCAGTGGAATCATCGTCGGAGACGCCGACTGATGCTGCCGTCTTGTGAGGTGCCTTCGGTTGCTGGACACGAACGTGGCGCTGCTGGGTTTGCTCCGCGAAGGTCTCGATCACAGCAATGGCGTCTGCGATGGTAGCGTACCGCTCCAGCTTGCGTAATGTAGTTGACATCCTATCCTCTCGCCGTCGACCTGTAATTTGGTCCTTTTACGCAGATTATTGAAATGGGTACGACTATTTAGCAGTTGCATTAATTTGACCTCATTCTGACTATATATTTTTTTTCGTGCATGCGTATGTGGGGCGTCCGGGCCTGCACGTTCTGCTGCGAGACGCTCCGGGCGAGAAATCACATCGTCTATGAGGTATAAGACTGTGGTCTTCAAGCTACTAGCGTATAGATTCCTGATCTCAATCGTGTTGGTCGCTGCTGCAGGATGCCAAAGTCATTGCCATGCTGGACCACAACCCACGAGCCAAGAAACACGTACTGGTGATCCCACATGAACACATTCCATCCGTAGACGACCTCACGCCGGTCCACTACGACCTATGTACGTAAAATATATTTGTGGTAGCTATTTACGTCTGACCACTGTTATGATGCTGTAGTGGAGCATATGCTTTTAACAGGACAAGAGATTTTAGCAAAAGACGGCTTCGTGGACAAAGAGAGCTGCCGGTATTAATGCATTAGTAGAAGCCATTGTTGGCTGCCAACTTCCTCTTCAAACTAATGTTTCGTTTGATTGTTTTTTTGTGTAGATTTGGCTTCCATCGCTCGCCGTTTGCGTCTGTGCCACATCTGCACATGCATTGTCTGGGACTGCCATTCCTTCCATCGTGGAATCGCTTGCGGTACACAGAGTCGATGCTACCATCGTACATAAGCGCTGAAAGCGCCCTCGCTGCCCTTAAACATCAGAGAGATACACTAGACACCACCCGCTCCTCCGAAGACTGAGCCAGTACAACTAGAATAAAACTAAGTAACATCAAGGTCTCGTTGTCTACAAGGCCATTTCTTTACTCGTACGTGCCGGATTCGATGTATTTGAACTGTTGGGTCTGTGTACTCTGCGGCTTGGACTTGACGACGTACTTGTTCACTCGGATGGCCTTCAGCAGGCCGTCCGACATCTCGTTGAACGTCTCTTCCAGACTTTCTACTGCGTCGTTATGCGCCATCACAAGCTTCTGCAACGCTTCCGTGTTTTTAGCCCGCGGTTTATCGACCATGAGCTGTCGATCTTCCTCCTCCATCTCTGGGTCCTCGCGAGTACGCAACAACAGCGGGATGTCCGCTGGGTTGGGCGTCGACATTCTCGGCACACACGCAAAGTGTTGCACCAAGTCGGGAATTTCCTCGTTCATGTTCTCTAACTGCTTGGAGATCACCATGTACTGACTCAACAGTTCCGGCCTGGCACCAATAAATGGTTAAACATCATTGATGTTACATCAACCATTGAGAAGCTCTGCATGGATGTACGACGATAAAGTCACAGCCTTACCAGGTGCTGGCTGGATTCCAAGCCAAGTTGTGCTCCAGGCGCGCAACTGTGTGGCGCAGGTGGTCGGCCCGCGCCCGGATGCTGGTCAGAGCGCGGTCAACGTCGCCTCCTGCTCCTCCTGATTGCATTCTTGTCTGGTAATGAATTAGTAGTACATATCTCGACGTAGTATTAATACTTTTACAAATTGCTTTTAAGACTGCTAATATCGTACTTATTCGTGATTCCTTATTAGTACAGTTTTATTCCACTTTGTAGTACTAGCGTTCGATCTCAGTAGTACTACTATTAAAGAAAAGAGAAACAACTACTGTAGTACGTTGTACGTAGTTCTCTTAAGTGCAGTAGTACAGCTGAGGTAATACTAGTACGTACTTCAACGTAGTACTACAGTTGTGGTACTGTAGTTGAATACGTGTTTCGAAACCCTGTATAGAGTTTAAGGAACTCTGATTGTATGCTGATGTGCTCCGAGCACAATGTTACTCGGCTTCATCATTAACATTTATACGTGTACTGTGCTTCGTCATGTGCTCATGTGTGATCATGTGTGCTCAAGTACATGTATCCATCAGCTCCCTCATCAGGGTGATTTGTGAGCTTGTGTACTTACCTGGGTGTCGAGTGCCTATGACGGCCCCTCGTCACGCACTGGCCGCCGTGTCACCACAATGACCTATCAGACCATAGAGTAGATCTACTTGCTGGTGCGGCCTTGAAGTGTCGAGACCGCGCCGGGAAGAATCAATCTCAGAGTTCGATTTACGCCAAGCTTCCTGCTTCTAGTGAATGCAAGTAACGGGCTGCCCTTAGCCCGTTACACCTGGTAGCACTATGTAATCCGTCCAACGACCAAGATCAACGGACGACACGTCCAAGGCATCCAATACGTCGCTGGAGCACGCCAGCTTCCCGCACCTGTCTACGATCGAGTGGGAGGCGCTGCACCGCCGTGCGGAAGCGTCCGGTGACGCCGTGATTCAGACCTTACTGACGGCCGGCACGGAAGAGCAGCAACGCCTGGCCGCCCAAGAGTTCATGGCGCGTAAGCTCGCGGACCTTCGTCTGCGAGTGTTGACTCCCACACCTCCCACAAAAAGGACCGACATCGTCAAGACCGATGTCCTCGCTTACAGCAGTGAAGGAGACGGTCGTCTCGACCTGAACAGATGATTATGTGAGGTGGCCATCGCCATCGAGGCTCGGTAACTGTCCACCGATCTCGCGCGCACACGCTTCCTGCTTTCCAAGCTGTCGGGTAAGACGAAGGAATGGGCGCTCGGCAAGCTCGTTGCCGACGCTAGCTGCTTCCCAACCATGGCGTCGATGAAAGCCGACTTGCGGCTCGCGCTCGAGCCACCCCAAGAGCGCGTCCAGCGGTCGGCTTTCCTCTCGCTAACGCAGGGACACATGTCCATACTCGAGTACATCCAGCGCACACGGCATCTCATCTCGTGCATTTCGACCTATCCTGTGGACATGGTGACTCAAGTCCTTGTCTTCATCTCGGGCATGAGCACAGGATATCAGCGCTTCTGTTTGACAAGGAAAACTCCGTCTACCTTGGAGGAATCCTTCGCCGTCGCTCTGCGCGAAGACTACGGCGTGACAGCGTCGCAAGCATTCGCCGTCTCTTGGGCCCCGGCGCCAGAACCGGAGCCGGAACCGATAGAGACTGACGCCATCCGACAGTACGAAGACCGTCGTGGGGCAACATCACCCACTCCAAGGTCACTGTCATCGACGCGGGGCTCGCACCAGCTGAAGTGTTTCCGCTGTAAAAATCCTGGTCATCGCGCGGCTGTGTGCCGCGCTCCAGCGACCGTAGTGGCGACCATCACGGTTGAGACCGACGTCGCCGATGGTGGCCAAGCGAAAAACGGCGACAACCAGTGGGTGCGCGGCGCCCTACTGGTCGTGGCAGAACCTCCTCCTAGCCATCCAGTGCTACGTGCACAACTATATGCCACCACCTCTGGCAGCGACTCGATACTGATCGTGCTCAGTCTTCACGTTGCTGGGGCGACGCGCCCTGTCCGAGCGCTGCTAGATTCAGGCGCGACGAGCAACTTCGTTCGCGCCGAGAGTCTGTCGATGTTGTCAGCGGACACGCGCGTACGTGAAGGACCGGGCCACTTGATAGCGAAGTATGCGAACGGCAAGCCGCGGCGGCTTCCGCGGCGCTCATTTTCCTTCTCGAACGAGTTCGATGGGTTTCAGGACACATTTCCTTCAATTACTTTCCTCAAGTTGTTCTACAAGTGTATTTGCATTTAAATGACAGCTTCTCGTAGAATTGATCAACACATGGAGAGCAATCCTCCCGTAACGAGCCCTACGTCACCACTGGTTATGAGCCTATCCACGTGGAGGAGCAGAGCAAAACACTCGAACAATACCGAGCACACGTTAGCGTTTGAAAAATCCAACGATAGGAGAAACTGCAACACCAAAATAGTCGCAGCCGACACGTATCATCTGTACGGCAGTATTCCAGCAAAGAAACGAATACAAGCACTAGATAAAGGAACGTCACACCAGCTATCGGGATAAAATCACTACTACCGTCATTGCAATGTTCGTCGCGATAAATCCCTGCAATGGTACTGATAATGATTCCTATGCGCGCAGTAAAACAAAAAGAACGTCGATCTCTTCAACCACTGAAGCACAAGAGAAAATGATACGTAACAAGCTGAAATAGCAGTTTTCCTGAGACTAACGAGCCTGAAGTACTCAAAACTAGCGATAAATAATGTATATATCGACGGGCAACTTTTAGCAACAAGTCCACCAAAGGCCTCCTTACTGTCAACGTTTTGACTGATACTACTAAGTAGGTCCACGTGTGGCTCCATTTATTTTAACGAATAACTCACCAGTGCCTAAGTGGATGAAGCTGCTGCTGGTTGTGGCTGCGTCGCTGTTGAGGAAGGCTCGCATGATATACCGCCCTTCGCGCCACCCACACATACAGACGTCGATCTGGGCTAGTCTAACCAGCTGAACATGTCAGAGAGACCAAACAAAAGATGCAAGAATCAATTTATGCATGCTGCAGCTGCAATTTTATTCATTAGATGTCTTGAGGATCGCTTTCTATCAGTGCATACACAACTAACACGATTTTAACTACCAAATACATTGTATAACCAACATAGATCTAGACCATTGCACACATTGAGCACCTATCGCGCTTGTTGATATTACAGTAGTACTACGCAGTATATGCTTTCACTCCAAAGGTCATTTTTGCTTTGCGTTTTAGTATTAGAGAGTAAAGCCCACATTAGTTGCAAATGGAGCCTACTCGGGGCTCTTGAATTCCGCGGTAGTGACAGCTCTAAAGGTAATGCTGATCGAAGTAGCTAACTTTCAGAATCGAAGCCAACGGTCAAATGGTATCAACATGTGTAAAGCGAAAGAATCCTTCAGCATCAAGCTTACCGTCAACTCTCTTCAAATCGCAGCAGTGGAGTCGCGATCTCGTATGACAGTTGATGGATGTTGCACCAGTCTCTTCGGGAGAGGATTGAGGTCGGGGTATGGCAATGTGCACCGTCAAGCTCAAAACGTAAGACGCCCAGCAAGTACGTGTTTACTTTCTCGGTGGACGCCTTGCCCAGCAGAATTCCGGCGCCGTCTACGACTACGTGGTCGCTGCATATGTCGCTGGGACGTTCGTTAGACCGTCGCAGCTTCTGCATTTGCGTCGACTGATGCCAAAGTCACACAGGCTGGCGTCCAGACACGATGAGAGCAGGACGTTGCGTGCGTTTACATCCCGATGCAAATCCACGTTCGTCATCGCGTACAAATTGGTTAGCACACTCGTCACCACCTTAGATATGGCGAGCTTCTGCTTGGCTCATGAGAACTGGCTCGAATATACCAATTGGATATAGCCGACAGCAAAATGAACCCGAAGACACCGCCACAACAGCCACAGCGTTGTCCACTTGCAGTAACTTTCCGAAGCCGAAGCTGGAGCGTCTTTCAATTGTGTCGCCGGAGCTGACTGGGGCTGTTAATGTCGTGTTACTGACGCGTTGCTGCACTAGAAAGTACTGCAAGTCGCCTCCTTCCGTGTGATCCTGCACTATTACCACGTGCTCCAGAGTGCTCCTCGCAATGCCATTACGCGTCACAATGGTGTCGGTCTGTAGAGCGTGCAGTAGAGGCCAAAGGGACGAAGGTAGACGCGGACAGCCCGATAGTCGCGTCAAAGTACTCGAACACTGCAGCATTTAGGGCGCCGTCGTCGTAGCTCAACGACGTCTTGGGGTCTCTGATCGACGGTCGAGACCTATACGCGCTGTCGTCACTGTCCAGATTGGAGACCGACGAGTAAGACGAGGAGCGATCCTGCCGTAGTATGAAACCCTTTACTTTTACGTTTAGGCACGAGAAATACCTCCACGGCGTCGTTGCTAAATAATAAGCGGTTCTTACGCATAGACATGTCGACTTCTCGTCGTGCTTTCCCCACGTACTGCTGGCTTCTAGCGGTAGACAACAACCGTGCCGAATGTTACGAGGTGCGTCGACGAAGAACCATGTCGGAATGTAGCAGACGCCAGCAGCACGAGCATTGAAAAGCTTTTTTAAGCCATGTATTCAGACCATGCAGGATGTCGGAATGCACGGAAGTGAAGTCCTTGCCGCTCACTAGCGCGTCGGTAGATTGGTCGCAGGTGACGCAGATTGCATGTCTGGTGTGGATGGATCGATCCTCGGGACTGGATGAGGGAGAAGTGAGCTTCTGTGCTCAAATTGCAGAGTGAGCAAGCGAACGGCAAGGACACAAAGTCCCACGTCGCCTTGGACACACGCCAGCCACAAATTAAGTTCATAAAGTACAATCGGCGACTCAGTGCACGTAATGCTCATCGCCATCTGAAGCACATTCGAGTTGTCATGGTGCACCAAGACATGATCTCAGCTGAGCGCGGGTCATCTGTCATCACCTTCGTCTGTACGTAATGCGACACAGGATGGTATTCCCGAGGATAGTTTGACCAATCCTGTTACGGTGAGCGGATGGGAACAGACGTGTAGAGTAGACACTTGTGAGGAAAGGGAGAAAAAGAAGAGTGAATTGAATAATTAGTGGTGAGGAGGCCAGAGGCCTGT